TCTAATGGAAAATGGCATGTGGACTCTCTTGTGCCCTACGAGTCTCACATGAATGTTATTGGCTCTGTGGTTTTTTGGAACAAACAAAATTCAAATGGTACCATTCAGTGATCCAAGGCGAGATTGGTTGCTCAAGGATTCTCTCTACAACCATGTATTGATGTAGGAGATACTTTTAGCCTGATTGTTAAACTGGCTACTATTCGTACTATTCTTAGTATTGCACTTAGCAAGGGTTGGCAAATTCGTCAATTTGACATCAGTAATGCCTTTTTGCATGACTACTTGCATGAGAATCTTTATATGCACCAACCTTAGGGATTTGAGGAACCTCAGTATTCCTTTCACATTTGTAAGCTAAATAAAGCTCTTATAGCTTAAAACAAGCCCCCCCGTGCTTGGTTTTCCAAACTTAGTACAAAAGTGGTTGAGTTAGGGTTCACTGCTTCTAATTCAGATTCCTCTCTCTTTATCTATGATCATGATGGCATTATTATGTATTTAATTACTTGTTTATGTTATGATTTACTACTCACTGGTCATTTATTTCTCACTTTGCTTCTTCCTTTGCTGTTAAGGTTGAGTTTGGAAGGAGTACAAATACAAATATGTATTATACAAATACATACAATACAATACAAAATACAAAGTTTTGCACTTTATAAATTTGTATTTGTACTCCTTCCAAACTCAGCCTAAAGATCTTGGATTGCTACATTATTTTCTTGGTATAGAAGTGATTTCCACTCCAACAGGCTTGCAACTCTCACAAAGAAAATATATGGATCTCCTTCAACGGTGTCATCTTGATGGCTCCAAGCCGGTTTCCACACATCTCTCTCTTTCTAAGCATGAAGGACAGCCTCTTGATGATCCCTCATAATATCGTAACATTATAGGCTCTCTCCAATACATCATTGTCGCCCAACCTAATTTTGCATTCAATGTGAATAAAGCTTGTCAATTTCTTCAGCAGCCCACTAATATTCATTGGACCTTTGTGAAGAGAATTCTCCATTACTTGAAAGGAATCATTAATAATGCTTTCCAATTTTGACTTAATAGTGAGTTAGTGACTTCATAATTCATAATTATTGTGATGCTGACTAGGCCAACTGTGCAAATGACAGAAAATTCATAGGAGGTATGGCAGTTTTTCTTTGCATAGATCTGATAAATTGGAGGGATCACAACCAAGCCACTATAGCTTGGTCAAGTACAGAAACAAAGTTCAGAGCACTTGCTGACATCTGAAATTGTCTAGCTCACCTCTCTCTTAAAAGAACTAAGGGTATCTCTCTCCTATCCTCCAGTCCTTTGGTGCAGTAATATTGGTGCCACCTACCTTGCTACAAATCCAATTTACCATGGCCGAACGAAGCACGTGGAGGTTGATTATAATTTTATCTACGACCGGGTTACTAGTTAATAGTGAATTGTTCATTTGATCCTCTCTTCTACATATCATTCGACACCTCATGTTAAAGTGTTAAATCCTTTATGATGCACTTAATTAATCCTATCATTTAGTTTTAACACTCATCCTTAATTGCATCCTTTTCTTGCCCATATATATACTCCTCTCTAAACAATGCTCTTTATTAATTGTTGACACTTTATTCTGTATAACATTATAGCATTCCACTTAAATCATATATGCTGCTCTAATTCTATGAGTAACATTCTCTTTAATTTTTCTCCCATTATGAATGGTTGATTGAAGGTATCAAAGTGAGTAATTTGGTTGAAATAATGATGACGATGATAATGATTGTAGATAGATGGATAAAAAGGTAAAATGCTTTATATGATATATAAAATTAATATTTAAATAAAAATAACTTTTAATTATTTTCAGAGTTGAGAGTTCAGACCCAGCAATCAAACGTCACCTGCCTGTCCCATAATGTATTGGTCAATCCATTCTTATCTTATTTTATTGGGTTCTTTCGGTAGAAGAAGGAAAGAGGATATATTTCCAGGAATCAGTTTCCAATTTCTGACTCCGTGTTTCTTTCCTCTTGTGATGGACACGGGAATTGGGGACACTGGGAGGAAAAAAAAAAAAAATCTTGAACCGACGCGTTTTCTTTGATTTTTTCGCCATCTTGTCAGACGTCTGCCGCAGCAACACTGTTTCTACTTTCTACGTTGGGTTGAACCGTTGAATATGAACGGCATCTGTGGTCGTCGGAGACTAAATGACAAGAGTAGCCTCCCTGGTCGAGCAGACCCTTTTGTCTTTTGACAGTAACGCATCTGTTTATCTTTGTTTTTTTTTAACCCACTAGACTGTAGACTGGAACCCATCATAAAAGTGGGATCCGTTGGATCCATCATAAAACGGTCTCTGAATGGAGTGGCTACAAACCTTGTTTTATGGACTCCAGGTCTTTTATTCATTAGAATTCTGTTTACGTCTATTCATAACATACTATATAATACTATATAGGAGGATGCGATGTTTTTCATGTGTGACTGCAATGTTATATAAATTGACATGAACAGAATTTGGAAACATCCACCCACTGAATATAAATTGCAATGTTTTTCAACCGCAGTGAATTACAATCACAGAATAAAGATGTATACAATTCACAGTGGCTAGAGAGTGGATAGGAAAAATGAATAAAAAATTTCAAGTGCTCATCATCATGATCCATAATGTTACCTGCAATTTTCAAAGCAGTACACAGAAGCTAAGGACATGTTTTGAATTAATGTGATTTACAAATAAAACAGGGACACACAGGAGTCTAGGAGATCGGTGCTAGAAAAAAATATTTGCTTTTCCAAAAAAAATGTTTTCTGAGACCATGATTTGGACATTGTTAAAGGTGTGATATGACTTTTTAACGTTTTTTGAGAAAACGCCGGAGAAGCCGAGAAGGTAATAGGTATAGCTGATGTGATATTGAAAAGCGCCAAGGTGGAAGATATAATCGCAAACAAACAAAAAAGCCGTTTTGTTAGAAAACAACATAGAACCGTTTTCTCACATGGAGAAAAGGATTGGTTATAAACATCACCTAAACCTACCTACGGGTGTAAATAGTATTTGAAAATCTGATTTTTAATTCGATATTTGATATAATTGGATCGAATTTGGATAATTTGAATATTTAATCAGTCGAATTTGGATATCTTATTCATACTGAATAGTTAATCGGATTTGAATTTGGATATGACCTGATTCGATTCGATAAATATCCAAATTTGATTGATTATTTAATTCTTATATATGATATAAAATATTTTATATAATTTATATATATATATAATAATTATGTTATATAAATAATTTATATATTGTATATCAATAAAATATTTATTAATTATCTAAAATAATTAATTAATCAAATTCGAATCGAATCGAATATTCAAATATTTAATCAGATTCGAAATCGGATATTAATTTTCAATATCCATCGGATATTGAATCGAATTCAGACATCAGATTTTCTAATCGGATTTGAATTCGGATATTGCTTGATCCGATTCGAATTTGATCCGTTTACACCCCTACCTAAGTCTATATATTTGTTTATTTTTTTGTTGCAAGTATGTATATATTTATGTATATACATATTTATCTATTCATACATGTATATCATATGTCAAAAATTTTAACGGCTTATTTGGCTCACAGTCGAAATTGGAGTTGGAATTGGAATTGAAACTCTCAAAATCATAATCAAAATGGTCTATTCTCATAATTGTTTAATTCAGACAGGAATCAAAATGGAAATTGGAATAAGGTGGAATTAAATTTCATTTTAAAGGAAGGGGGAGGGAATGACTATTCCCTTAAATAGGAGAACGCCGTTCTACCAGGAATAGAAATGGGGTTCCGATTCTATCCAACCAAACAATTGGAATTCCGATTCAACACCCCTATTCCTACAAGCCAAATGTGCTACAAGTCTATGCATTTTTATCTAAAACATAAAACTATCACACATAATAATGCTAGTATTTAATTAACATGAACCTTTATAATCTAGCAGGCAAACGGAAGTAGAAAAGTCGGGCTAATTCAAGACCAACCTGAACCCAACTTGAATCCAACATTGGGGGTTCAACAATTTGAGTTACGTTGGATTAGAGTTGACCTCAACCCAACCTAACCTTGCTTGACTTGCACCCCTAATATCTTCTACAAATTGGATTATTCTATTTTCAAATGATTTGAAGGAAACCCTTGCCAAATAAGACTCCAAAAAAGATCAACCTTCTTAAGGCATCAAAGATGAATCACTCTTTGATAAAGGTGATGGCAAAGGGCTGAAATCTAGAAATAAAAATGTATTTATCACAAAGTTTTATTTAGGCTCAATTTGAAAGGAGTACAACTACAAATATGTATATTTTAATTACATATAAAATAATATAAATATATAAAATTTTATACTCTATATATTTGTATTTGTACTCTTTCCAAACTGAGCGTAAAGGATTAATTATTTAAATATACTCTGAAGTTTCATTGAATTACTGTACTTAATTATTTAAATGTACACGAAACTAACATATATATCACATGGCTTTCAAAGTTACTTAAATATATATCATGTTTTTTTAGGTATTTAATCATTGCCTTTTGTCCCCATAGTGGTCGTATTTCATTTTTTACTTGGCATCCTACATTACTTTTTTTCAACAATAATCTGACAACTCTTCTCAAAGATACGATGGTGGGAGAACCAACCGAGTCACCACTCAAGAATTCGGATCTACTGATCAAAACACACTGCTATTCACACTCATCCAGCTGAGTCACCACTCAAGAATCAGTCTGAATGAATATTTTGGACATTTTTATGCCTTTCAATAAAGATTTCTAACAAATTCAGAAAATTTAGGGGAGGTGATTGAAATTATCATAATTTAAAGGAGGTTTTAGCAACGATCAAAAATTTGAGGGGAGGTTTCAGCAATTTACCGAAAGTGAAAAGAAGTATTGCAATTTTACAAGGAAAGCTCAAGAGTTGAAACTTTCCCTTGCCGAATGTTCTATTCCGTCGTCAGTTTTGAATTTTCTTTTCAGCACCAGCAAGGAAGCAACAACCCCTTTCCTTCGAACTCCTCTTAATACTCTCCCTTTTCTTTTTCATATTCTTCGATCCTAACATAAAATATGAGGCTTTTGGTTTGTTCCTCTTCTTGAAGAAACTCGCAAAGCATTTTTGTATAGGTAAGCTTCATTTTTCTTATAACTCCAGTTGATTCCAATTCTGAAAAAGAATATTTGGTTTTCCTTTTTTTTCTTGTTTCTTTTCTTTTTTCTTGGGATGTTTCCAGATACTTTTCTTCCATGGCTTGGATATCCTGCTGCTGTTTTAATGTTTTTTTTGAGGGGGGCGGGGGGATGGATTTAGTAAAGATTCTGATTAACTGGATGTCTGTTCTTGTATACCTGTTCAGTGAAATCCATTTCGAGTACTAGGTACAAAGTGTAGCAAGTTCTTGAGTTTGGTGATTCTCTAACGTAGAAACTATTCAGAAAGATTTCTATTGTGGGATAACGGAGGAGTTTTTAGCTAGACGACGGTTGAAAAGTGTAATAGTGGTAGTTAGGGTTTGTCCTTGATACAACATAAAATTGAGCGATAACCTCATCTTTCTTTATTGGAGAATTAACCAAAGGTCCTTATGTAGTTGCTACTTGCTTTAATTGAAGAAGTCGTAGAAAAAAAAAACAACAAAATGAATATATGGAAAAGCCCTTGAAACTTGAGGTTTCTCTTATATCTCAACCTCTTTTTGGCAATAAACTTGGCTTGCAGTAAGTCATGTTAAATTAGTTTGGGCTTAAGGCAAACTTCAGTATTTTTGCTTTAAGACTGATAAAAAATGCAAGCTTTTGCCTTTTTGCAAGTTAAAGAACTATCATTGCCCCTGTTCTTTTCAAGATATTTTATTGTGTAGTTAAGTTTTCTCTAGTCAATCAGCCAATGTTCCTAGGATTGGACCTTAAGAATTTTATGTGGATGAGCTCATAACTTTCACTCTTCTACAGATATTTTTCATGTTGGAATGAACCCTTGGGGGGATCATACAAATTGGAAGCGTCTATGTCGTCAATGAGCGATGAAATAATCTCCTAATGAAATTATCAACTGATTATCAGGAGGAAACCCCTCCGAGTACATTTATAATTCTATAAAGGGTTTGAACACCAAAAAGGAAAAAGAACACTGAATGCTGGACGTGACTATGTCCCATATATGGGCACATGATAGACATGCATTTACATTTAGCATATTTTATTTTGTTGGATACAAATGGGGTCATCACTTGGTATGATGGTAAAATCCAAGGCTGTCAAATGTGAGAGGGCAGTCACTTGTAAAAAAAAAATGTTGGAGAGTAGATCCATGTACAGTCCACCCCTCCCCAGATCCTAGACTGCTGGGACCATTATTTGATAATGACATTTTATTTTGTGCGATAAAAATGGTACATGCTCTACCAAGGAATACTATAACTTGGTGCTTTAGCAACATAGTCATGGCAGGACATTTGAGAGTTGGCAAAAAATAGGGTGCACTGACATGGTTTTAGTAGGGAAGAGGAGGCCAATTGGCTAAGAGTGTCTTCCTTATTGCCCCTAGATAGCATTTGGTTTAAAACATGGCATGGGCTCTAACTTCAATGCAGGCATCCACTAGTTTCTAGCAAGTCAACCTCCAAAACTTATGGTGTAGGTACATGTCAATAACAAATATAAAATTAAAAAATTGATTTAAAAATATGATAAAATAATAAATCTAAAGATAAAAATCTTTGAATTGCCAAAGTATTGACTCCTTATTGACGTTTCTTTCTCTCATTATACCATAGGACAAAAGAAAAATCATCAAACATTCAAATTGCCACAAATTGAGCCAGACAAAGTGCTGCATCTCTCAAAAAGTAGTATGTAAAGTAGAGTTGATAATGGGTTGGGCAGACACAGCAGATCCAAAGCGAATTGACCTATATGAGGTCTGGGTTTGCATTACAATTATAATTGGGTAGAAATCGATTTTGGTTGCTCTGAACCATTTAAGATCTAAACCAACTATATATAATTGTATATGTATATTGGCATATTACAAAGCTACATTTGGTTGTGAACAAGAAAAAAAGGGAAGGTTTAGATTTTAGGGTTTAAGTGAAGGAGAAGAAGAGGGAAGGAGGGTGATTCCAATGAGCCCCTAACCTTGTTCTCTCTAACATTTATTCATTATGAAAAATAAGTGTACAACTACATCATTGCCCTTGATAGAGAAATATAATCACAAATCTAACCCATACAAAGACAATGACTAAAATACCCTTACAACATTTGAGTACCTATCCTGGACCAGACCCAACCCTTACAACATTTGAGTCGGGTCCATTAGAACCAGGTCTACCTTAGCCTGGACCAAACCCAACCATTGATGGCACTAACTTCAGGCCAAACTAGCGGTCTTCAACCATGTATATAAATCATAAACATGGGAATTGCCTTTTTTTCCTAATTTTTTCATTGTAAAATAAAAAAAAGGGAAACCAAGAGATATTGTAATCAAATTCCATCTAAAATCAAACCTTACTAGAATCTATAGTTGTCACCAGGGGTTCATGTTGTCTTTATGGCCTGTTGATGTCACTCAATTTGTTGATACAAGTAGGTATCTACTAGGTGTTCCATTTGGTGAGTGTTCCTTTAATATGGTAGGTGTTGCTATGATACCAACTTGTGGATGGATAGTTAAATAGGGAAAGAAAAGTGAAAGGAAAGAGGAAGAAGAAACATAGAACAAAAATAAGATTTTTGGGGAGAGAGAAAAGGCTATCAATTGGGCAGCCCTCTGTATCTATTGAAGGGATGAGAGATCCATCATATGGATGGCCGAACCCTGCAAGTAGACCTGTTCATGGGCCGGGCCGGGCTTTCACTCTGTATTAACAGAATTTTCTAAGGCCTGAGCCCGAGCCCAACCCGACCATCGGGCCTACAACTCGGGCCCGAGCCTGGCCCTCAGAAAAGCCTGAAGCCCGGGCCCGAAATTTAGCCCATACTATTACTATTACTACTGCTAAAGCGGCTAAATAGAGAGAGAGAGAGAGAGAGAAATTATAAAGAAAAGGATAAAAAATATATATTAAATATTATTTATATATTTTATATAATATATAAAATACATATTATATATTTTATAAAATATATAATGTTGAGTCGGGCCGAGTCGGGCTTTTTTGACAAATCCCGAGCTTGGCCCGAAGTCAGGCCCGCGGGCCTAATTACATGACCAAGCCCGACTGGGGTGCGGGCCGGGCCATCGGGCTACCCGGCCCATGAACAGGTCTACCTGTAGGTAGGTTGGGCGAAATTTCAAAATTTCTCTCTCTCTCATGTGGGAATCACATTCCCTATTTTAGAAAACTGCATTTTCAAGGATCAATCTTGAACCTAAACCAGACCAGATCTGAAACCAAAAAGGGAGTGGAGGGTTATACCTGATACGAAGTAACAATAACATCCAATGAAGGTGTTCACGCCCAAGGATAGATCCAAAGACTGCTTCCACCGAAGATGACACGGTGCAAGATGAAGTAGAATCAGTAGGATGGCTCTTCAGCAAGAACCTGATTTTTCAGCAAGAATCTGATGGAGGACTCCCACAGGGCTCTCCCAAGAATTTGATGAAGCAGAATCAACAAGATGGCTCTTCAGCAAGAACCTGATTACTTTTTCTACCAAAAGGTAATATCAAGAACACTTCTTGATCGCTCCCACAGGTGGAGATCGAACTGGTATGGCGGCCGGAGTAGGAGAGAGCAAGAGAAGAAGACAGAAGCAGTCAAACTATATGCTGTCCTCTCTCTTAAATCAGTAGACTGATGGATGAACTTGAGGTTTGCCCTGCTCCTCTATTTATAGCCTTAAAGAAAGGTTCTCCTAATCCCATTAGGAGTTTCCTAATCCAAATCTTGTATTTGGATCTGAACTTTCTTTAAGAGATAAGGATAATCCCATATCTTATCTGTAGATAAAGATCAACCCTCCTAATCTAATTAGGAGTTTTCTGATCCAAATCTTTATTTAGATCTGGACTCTCTGAGTGGATAGGGATAATCCCTTATCTTATCTGTAGATAAAGATTAGCCCTCCTAATCTAATTAGGAGTTTCATGATCCAAATCTTTATTTGGATCTGGACTCTCTGAGTGGATAGGGGATAATCCCTTATCCTATTTGCTGATCTAAATCCCAGAATCGCCTCTCTTTAATTAATCTCATTAAGCCAATTCGAATTGGGCTTTAGGCCCATTAAGTCTATGTGCTCACTTAACCTCCTAACTGCTGCCTAGTTGGCTATCCTTGTACAATGCCTGGGTTCAGCCCAATAAGACCCAAACATTAATCTACACATCAGCCAGATGGGTTCAGCCCAGCCTCTGTTACAAGGCCTGGCCGAATTCACTGTAGGAAATAGCGAACCTCTGAGCCCATCACCATGCGCTCTTAATGGGCCCAACATTTACACTAAATGGTCTTTGGGTCAAGCCACCTTATGAAAACCCAAGGACTGTGGGCAGATGCAAGATTAGCCCATCAGGTATTACCCTCAATGGTCTTACACTTAACCTCTCAGCCCTTAATGATCAAACACTGCTCGACAAGAGAGGACCTATCCCTCGGCTGCAAGGTACAGTGTTGCACTCTCTACTCACATGAATCCTGGGAATTAAAACCTTTTG